GGGGGCGAGGCCCGAGGCGGGTGCCAACAGCGAAGCGGGAGAAGCGCCGGGGCGGGACTCTTCTTGCAAGCGGCGCCCACCCTGCAGGGGGCGCGGAAGGGAAGCCGGCGTGAGGCAGTGTGCTTAAAGAGTGTCGGAGGGCCCGGGTTCGAATCCCCAGAGGCGGGTGCCAACAGCGAAGCGGGAGAAGCGCCGGGGCGGGACTCTTCTTGCAAGCGGCGCCCACCCTGCAGGGGGCGGGGGAGGGAAGCCGGCGTGAGGCAGTGTGCTTAAAGAGTGTCGGAGGGCCCGGGTTCGAATCCCCCCTCAGCCACGCGCCCCCTGGGCCACTCCTGCACTCTCTGTCTGACCCACCTTGCAGGCTTGTTGTGAGGAGGATTAAAGGGAGGGAGAGGAGCAGGATGCGAGCCGCCTCGGGGCCCCCCACTGGGGGGGGAAGATGGAGAAAGGCCGTGAAGCCCCGTGCCCTCCCTCTGTCGGTCCACCGACCAGTTTAGCTGCTTAAATCTCCAGCCGACTGCCCAGGCGACTCCAGAGAGCTTTAGCAAGCGAGCCAAAGGGCACACCGCCCAGGAAGGCAGTTTTGTTTCCCCAGGTGACCACCCGACCAGGGAGGGGAAAGGGGCCCCTTCCTCGTCACAGAGTCCTGCCTTCCCTCAGCAACTGGACCCGAATTGCAAGACCACCACGCCCCCTCCCCCCCTTATCTTCCCCTCCTCTCCCAAAACCTCCAGGGTGTTCCCCCTCTTCCCAGGATCTAGCCAGTAGCGCATGCCAAAAGGACATGATCCCCCACCACCACCGCCTAGCTTGTCAGCCCAGGTAAAGAAAGCGACGCCATCACAGCAAGCGCAAAGGATTCAGCAAGGAGCGAGAGAAGCAGGACACTTGTGAAAAGCCATGCTGCAATTCCAGGGAAGGGCAGATGAGAGAGACCACACATCCCCTGATCCCCCCCCTCCCCAAAACACACACACACAAATTGCACCACCTTTGGAGAAAAAGAGCAATTGTGAACTGACCAAAACAGAAGGCTATTTGCTTTGGTTGCTTGGAACAGAACCTCCATGCTCAGGGGCAGTCTACCTCTGAATATTAATGGCAGAGGGACAAGCGTCACCTTCGCGCCCTGCGTGGGGGCTTCGGTGGGCACCAGGCCAGCTGTGCTGGGAAGCACAAACTCGACAGGAGGTGTTGATGCAAAGCGGTTCATAAAACTGGCCTGTTAGTTTTGTGTGCTGGTGCTGTTCACACCATGCATCGGACGTTCTTAATGATAGTACTCCAGATGCTTAGCAACTGCAAGCGATTGATTCCCCCCTTCTCCATATACACCTTTAAAAGGAGGGGAAAGTTGAATTCCACCTCATACCGGCCCCCTCCCCGCTAAATGACAGTACAGGGATTTAGACAAAGAGGTACATGAGCATTAAACATTCATTTGCAAATAGCCCTGTTTATCCCGGAGTCTCCCCCGAGAATTAATCTGCAGAGAGAGAGGGAGAGAGAGAAGGAAATTGGTCAGCCGGTTTCTAAGTTACAGGAGGTTTTGACAAGCCAGGCAGAATTTTGTGCAGAAGATTCTTGGTTTTTGATCTGCATCTTCATTGTTTATGCCTCATCTAATCTCTCCGGAGGATAGAAATTTTCCTGGCCCCCGTGTGTCTAGGAGAGACTGTAGAGCCGTGACTCAGCTCCAGGTTCAAATCCGCGTTCGGCTACAGATCCCACCAAGTAATCCCAGGCCAGTCATGCTGTCTCCGCCTCACCTACCTCACAGGATTGTTGTGAGGGGAGTGGGGGGCTCCTTGGAGGAAGGGGAAGAATGAAAGAAGAAGCCTATAAATAAATTTAAAAATCCAATTGGGAAAGTCTGGAAAAGGGGAAACTTTCCAGCAGAATCTTCCGGCTGGAATTTCAATGCAAAAAGAGAGAGCTGTGAGTTCAAATCCTGTCTTTGCCATGAAAAGCATCTAGGACTTTCTTGTTCCTCAGGCCTAAACTCTTCAGCGTCTGGCATTTCTGAGTGAAAGCTGGAAATGTTGCTGCATTTGTCTAAATGTCTCACCTTGGCTTTGTGTGTGTGTGTGTGTGTGAGTGTGAGTGTTCCCTCTAAGCTGAGCTAGTGTGAGCTATCTCACCGTTTTTTAGCCTCCGGCTCACACATTTTTGTCTCGGCTCAGGAAGGATGGGGCTCCAGAGCAAACTGATTTATGCAGCAGCCCAATCGCTGGCTCACAACTTTCATGCCGGCAGCTCACAAAGCAGAATTGTTGCTCACGAGACTCCACGGCTTAGAGGGAGCATGGGTATGTATGTGTGTGTGTGTGTGTGTGTTTTACATTCCCCACCTTTTTGACCCAGACAGGCTGCTGGCCGGGTAAGCCGAAAATGAATGAGGGATACATTTCAGAGTCAGCAGTTCAACCGAGACGAAACCCAGAGAGGTTTAACAGCTCGGGAGAGATTCCTCCCCCGCATCGCACTCCGTGCAGATTAAAAGAGGGCGGTGATTTGATCATAAAACTCTCTCAGGGGGCAACGGAAGGACGAAGGACGGAGGCCTGCCAAGCCAAAGCCGGGGCGGGGATGGACGCGTCACCTTTTCCCAGGCGGCAGCAGCTCCCTCTTGGGGGACGAGGGCGATGTGGAGTAGCCTCTCCTCTGGGGCAGGATCCCGTTGCTCAGGCTGGGTCGGGAGGGCAGCCCCCTCAGCAGCTGGTACACTGCAGGGGAGAAAAGACAAGAGAACATAAGAACATAAGAGACGCCAATGTTGGATCAGGCCAAAGGCCCATCCAGTCCAACACCCTGTGTCACACAGTGGCCAGAAATACCAGTGCCATCAGGAGGTCCACCAGTGGGGCCAGGACATTAGAAGCCCCCCCCCTGTTGACCCCCCCCCCCAAGCACCAAGAAGACAGAGCATCACTTGCCCCAGACTGAGAGTTCCTATCTATACCTTGTGGCTAATAGCCACTGATGGACCTCTGCTCCAGATGCTTATCTAATTCCCTCTTGAAGCCGTCCATGCTTGTAGCCGCCACCACCTCCTGTGGCAGTGAATTCCATGTGTTAATCACTCTTTGGGTGAAGAAGTACTTCCTTTTATCCGTTCTAACCCGACCGCTCAGCAATTTCATGGAGTGCCCACGGGTTTTTGTATTGTGAGAAAGGGACACGCCCTTCAGATGGGAGACGGGCTCCTCCTGCACAGCACGGCCCTTTGCAGCACACACGGGGGGTCTGGGCCTTTTCTCACACCTGTCTCACACCCGAGTGCCACATGATGGAGTGAGCCCCTTCAGATGGGAGACGGACTCCTCCTGCACAGCACGGCCCTTTGCACCCGAGTGCCACATGACGGAGTGAGCTCCCGTCTCTGGTGCCAGCTCCTGCCAACTTCGCAGTTCAAAAGCAAGGAATTGCAAGTCGATAAATAGGTACTACTGCAGTGGGAAGGGAACAGCGTTCCGTGTGCCTCGGTGTTTAGTCACGCCGGCCACATGACCACGGAAACGTCTTCGGACAGCGCTGGCTCTTCGGCTTGGAAACGGAGATGAGCACCGCAACCCTAGAGTCGGGTTTGACTGGCTTTCGAGCAAGGGAAACCTTTACCTTTACTAGTGAAGAGAGTTAGGGGTTGATTTACGGTAGGCGTTTCCCAGCATTCCACTGACAGGGAGGGGTTTGTCAACGGCAGGAAGATTGCCTGGGAAGAGGCTGTGTGTGTGTGAGGTTTTCTTGCCCCCCCCCCCCGGGCCTCCCATCTCGCTTTTGGTCCCCCCGGCTCT